GCTAGAGTAGGTAGAGAACCTGAATCCTTTTACTCCCTCCTAGAGTAGGCAGAGAACCTGAATCTAATGTTGAAGAATGTCTCCTAGAGCCACCAAAGAATAAAGAAAGTAACTTGAAGAAGATAATGGAAACATTGCTTGGAGTAACCTTTGTGAATCCCTCACAACTCTCCTCATAAGAATCTCACTCTTTCTTCTCTCTTAAAGCACGCCTTTTCTTCCTCTAAGCTCCCTCTCAAAACAAGACAACTACAAAAAATACTCAATAAGACAATAAGAAAGCTTAAATAGAGAGCCTCCAAATAAGTCCTAAATTTCAATATGGCGCTTCTGATCGTCTAGTATAATCATGAGATTATCATGTACAATTAGTTCAAAATAGCACTTTCAGATAGTACGAACTACACTGGTCTTGATGATTGGTTCAACAGATTATACTGATCATCTTGTACTATCCTATAATCATCCTATATGATTAGTTCAAAAGATTGAACTAATCATCCAGTACTATAGTTGACAATTAAATATTGTCTCATGCAGTGATCGATTCATACCGTACAAAGATTAGGATCGTCTAGTACAATTAGTGAAAAATTATGGTTTTTCATCTTGGATGATAGATGGCATTTAAATATCATCCCATGCAGGAATCGAGTGATGGATCATGTGAATGAAGATATACATCCGAGATGATATCTATAAGAAAAAGCATAGAAGAGTCGTAGTAAATGCAAACAATTGTAGATGACACGAGAAAATAGACACTCAATATAGTTTGCCCACAAGTGACAGTGAGAAGCGTAAGCAAGGAATCACAATAAATGCAAACACTTACAAAACACTATAGAGGACTTTCCATACACACACAACATGCAGTTTACAGGAAAATACAGATGAGCAGTGGTAAATACAAACATATACAAATAATGATAGCTTATGTAGTTTATTTGTGCACAAAATCAATAGATATGCTGAGAAAAATGATGGATTCTCTGTGATCATATACATTCGACATGTCATTTACAAGAAAGGACATGAGATCATAGCCAATGCAATACTATTTCAAATGCAAGCTCCCATAATAATTATAGTAAATTTATTAGCGCACGACAGTCTACTTGCATAAAACGACAAATGACCTACGACATAATGCAATGCCACCAAATATGCAACATGCATACAAGTGGAAAAAACTTATTCATCGTTTCTTTAAGAAAGCTCGTGCATCTTTTGAATGATTATTACTTGCAAACAAAAGTTTAGTGATGCAAGATAGCCTGCCTATAATAAGTAACGAGCGACTTATAGCACAATGTCATGCCACCAGATCCACAACACTCATACAAGTGGATAGAAGGTGTTTATAAATGCTAAAATGAAATTATGCATGATCATTAGCAATAGTCAATCACATAGCTGACTATATCTAAATATTGCAAAAGCACCGCTCTTATACATCAAAATGCACGTTGACACATTCACATACATGCATTCCTTTGCAATATGTAGGATGCAACATGCATATATGCTTTCTAATATGTAAAATGCACTATGTAATATACTAGTATACTACACAAGTATATCACAACTACGTGCAGTTAGGGATGAGTAAACATGTTATAGGCATCCTTACCTAACATATGAATGTAATAAATGTATATACATTATTATATGCAAAGTACATGTTGCAATATATAACATGCATTATATTTACATATTGTACAATACTGCATTGAGTTGATGTGCAACATGCAAAATATCATGCGTGCATGAATAAACAACCTGCAATTGCAAAATGCATCATACGTGCATATTACACAAATATACCATATGTTATGTTAGCGTGTTAAATCACTACATTGCATATCAAGAACATCACATAAGATGTAAACTCACATGCCAAAATGTATGTATATATATAAATACACTAAAAAATACGTGAGTATGTTAACAAGCAAATGTGCATATACACCTATTGCACATATATACACAATTATTATACAAATGCTTTATACAAAATACAATTAAAATTTTATAACCTCATAAGCCCCAGCAAGCATGTTGTATAATGTGATATATGAGGATATTGCATGGGACAAGAAATGAACTTAAGTTTGAGTCTGATCCTTCTATATGAATAGATAGTAGTCAACATTGTTCGAACTATCAAACAAATATATAATAACGGCATCGACCAGGATCTTTGTTTCATATATTCATAGTAGGCCTTTAAAGTCTTTAATAAAAAAATACTAATAAAGACATAAAGCCGATATTTAACTCGATCATCTATCAGCAAGTAGATAGAGTTAACAAGTTTAAACCAGTAAAATGAAGTTTCCCATAAAAACCTTGATGATGGTCGAGTTTATAAAAATCTCAATCGAAGGGGGCCCTAAATATTCAAAATGCCTCATATTTGCTTGTAAACACCCCAATAATAGCTGTGATGTCAAAAAAATCTCAACCGTAGGGGACCCCAAATATTCAAAATACATCTCAATTATCTGTAAACATCCCAATAATGATCGTGTTGACAGAAAATCTCAAACCAAGGGGACCTCAAATATTAAAAAAAAATGCCTCCTAAATTCTCATGAAAATTCACAACATAGATAACCAAAAAGAAAAATCAAGAAATCTAAAATGAAATAAATTATCAAATAACTAAAGCAAAACTCATTCACACACCATAACAATTTGTCAAGGAGGACAAATTTAAAAATTACCTTAGCTCACAAAGATCAGATTTCTGGTCAAAAATATCATTTAGATTCATTATTAAATAGTCTCTTTCCAATAAGCACATGGAACGTATCCTCTAACCGATGATTTTGCCGCTAAATGACACCATAGGCTAGGACCTTCTAAATCAGGTGGTATTACCGCCAAATGATATAATTATAATAATGGTTAGAGCCTTCTTGTACCCCAATGGATTCAGATTTTTAAGATATAAATTAATAAGATATAATCAATAGGACACGAAGCCTTTTATTTGCTAAGATGGATTCAAATTTGTTCCCTTAGGCAAATATTCATCCTAAGTCTATAAGATACTCTTGGACGAGGAACCCCGTGGTTGCCGACAAGGATCCTTTTGTCATGATGGGTCGACTACTTCTCTGACTAAGTAGACAAGGGTCCACGATGGTCCGAACCGCTGAATCATAAGATCTTGATAGGGCTCATCATCATACCCCCCACCTTCCACTTTAAGTGCATGATAGTGAAATTTTTAATAATAAATATTAATTCTCAAAAACTAAATCTATACTGTTATTATAGACCATATATCACATATCTCTATGTATATGTTTGATGACTAGCCTTAATAAAATTTTCTCTCTTGTTACATGGAGGAGTAATTAACTATAGAGGGTTACACCTATAGGAATCCTGAACTCATATCATAAAACCCTTGCAAAATGAGGGCAAAATCTCTGGGTAATGTCTTATTCAAAATATAATATGCATTCTGAAAACTTGCTGTATAATATAAGTGTTAATACTCTCCATGACAACCCAAAAAAGGAAAGGGGTTTGCGAAGAGGCCTAGTCATGAATTTTTGGAGCCCATGACATGAAAATTAATGAAACTAAAATATATTATGATTCATAGGAAGATAAATATTCAATGTATACAAAAAAACTAAATGAGTTGGAGAGAAGGCTAAAGAGATTAGTAGTTTAGGATTTCATTTATGATATTCGGGTGAGTTTTACTAAAAATGGTGTAGGTATGAGGATATTCAATAAAAGTAAATGAGATTCTTTGATAAAATTTTCAATGAAGATTATGAGAATACGATTAACTTCAATGACCTTAACACCCTAAATAAAAGTAAAGATTTATTATTTATTGGCATATTAATAAAACCGAAGTTAGAGAGGCTTTAAAGAAAATGAATTGTAGAAAAGCTATTGAACCTGATGATATTTCAATAGAGGTATGAAAAAACATATTTTAATTTCATTATATCAAGGACCAGCTTTAATCCCATATCTTTCTGCTTTAGTCTTGAATGTTCATACTAGATTTTCTCAAGAGAATGTACCTTGGTGTATTCTTTTTACAGATGATATTCTTCTTATTGATAAAAATAGAGAGGGAGTTGAAAGTAAACTTGAATTATGGAGGTCAAACATAATGTCTAAAGGTTTTCATTTGAGTAGATCAAAAACAGAATACATGGAATACAATTTTAGTAGTAATAGATCTAGTGGAAGGATTTTGACTTTAGGCGATTAAGTCATTAATAAGAGAATATTTTAGATATTTTGAGTCTATTGTTCAAAGTAATGGTGAAATAGATGAGAAAATTATTAATAGAATTCAAGTTTGAGGGTTGAAGTTGAGGAATGCATTCGGCATATTGCGTGATAGAAAAATACAGCTCAAATATAAGGAAAAATTCTATGGGATGGTGATAAGATATGTGCTGCTTTGTAGCATAGAATGTTGACGCAAAAATGTTAGCCATAAAAGAGAAGCATAGAATAAAGTGTTGAGATTTACAGAATTAATTCTAAACCCTAAATATAAACCCTAACAACTATATTAGATAAAACATTTACAAAAAAAAAAAAAAAAGATAATTCATTTCCAGAATAAATAGATCTAATATATTTGGTGATAAAGTACAACTTCTTTCCTAGAAATATAAAATTGACCTTAGCCATAGCTTCCAAGACAAAAATCTCGAGCAAAAAAAGGTCGATGCTTCGGTCTAACATGATGCGCACCTGAAATAACATACGTGGAGAAACTGAAACGCCTTGATTTCAAAAATTTCACTAAAACGCCCCAGGTTTCTTTTTAATAAAACTTCACTTTTTGCGTCTAGATAAGGTCAGGTCGCCGGGTTGCGCGGTAAATTGAAAAACACATAACAAATATTATAATTTTATTGGGACGGCTCATCGGGTCGTCGGGAATGAGAGGTTAAATGGGGTTGGACAGCTAGCTGTTAAAAACTAGAAAAAAGAAAAAAGGCCAATTTGTCACGTGCCTCACAACTTCTACCTCGTCGCAGGCTTAATTTGATTTCAAAATATCATAAGAAAGTGAATCTATAATTTTTTTAACACAGCCAAGTAATCCTTTGTAAGCATATAGATGGCATAGACTTTTTGCCCGCTTGAATAGGTTCGAATTCATTGGGATAAGCCTGCTAGAGCCGGGCTCGTAAATAATCCTGATAGATCTTTCTTGTGCTATAAATGAAGGCTCCATTCTCTATTTGAATAGCCACAGCAATCCAACGTGCGTTCTCGAGTCTTGACAGTTGCACTATTAGCAAGCGTCATAGCATACTCGTTTGCATTGGTGATCTAAGAACATTTTAAGAGCCCGATTGGCAATGGAACTCCTTGGTATAATTTATAATCATGCAAGGTGACTTCATCTTCACTATTATAACTATAAGAGGGTAAAAATGCTTGTTAGCTAGCTGATCCAGGAATTTAACTTTTCTTCATTTAGGGTGGGCTATCTAGATATTTGCATTGACAAGCAAAGATCTTCAATTGCGATTCTGCATTCAGTAAAGTGATATACTCAACTTTTATCATCATTACCAATGAGCACTAGCTCAAGCAGAATAAAAGAGGTCTCAAATTTGAGTATGATTTCTATGTCCTACTTTAAATTGCTCGCTTGGAGGAGTTCATAATTTTGTAGCTAGCCCACACATTTTCATCCTTTAAAGGAAGGTCCTCACCATCATCGTCATCAACTTCATAATCTTCATTATTAATCTTATCCAACTATTTGGCGCCAATATCATGAATCAAATTCTTTGTTTACTCAATGTATCCCAGCTTGGACTGTTAAATCTGTTCTATGTCAACTTATTTGCACAACTTCCATACATGATAATTCTGGTCCGTTTTAATCCTTAAGAAATAGATAGTTTCATCTATGTGTGTGCATGTCCAGAAAACGAAATTACTTAGAATAGCTTGTCTCAACCATGACTAAGGCCAGGAATTTTCACGGCATTTCTATCATCCAACAATCTCCTCACAGTCTCAGCATCAACAAACCTACCAGCCTCTGTGAGCATATTAGAAAAAACAACATAATCCCCTCCAAACTCTCTCTCCAACTCCATTATCCTCCTTAACACCCTCTCCCCCATCTCTATCTCTCCATGCTTGCTACAGCAACCCAACAATGTTCTCCACACTACGGAATTCACCTCCACCTGCAACCCAGCAATCACCTCCTCTGCCTCTCGCAGCTTCCCCGCCCTCCCTAGCATGTCAATCAAACAACTGTAATGCTTCATCTCTGGCTCAACACCATACCCATTCACCATCAGCGTGAAGAACCTCACACCCTCCTCTACCAACCCTCCATGGCTACAAGCATTCAACAGACTGAGAAAGGTGACCCGGTTTGGCTTTATCTTCTCTCTCCCCATCTTCTCAAAAAATAGAACTGCTTCCTTTGCCATGCCATGCATTGCAAAGCCTGATATGATTGAAGTCCACGAAATCAAATTGCTTCTTCCACCCATCTGCTCAAAAACCTGAACTGAGTTCTCAATCGAGCCACACTTTGCATACATATCAATCAGAGAATTCTGGATTCGGATGTCAAGCAAATCAATTCCCCCCTTCACACAATAAGCATGCAGCGTTTTTCCAATGTCAAGTGCCCCAAGGTTTGTTATGGCAGGGATGATGACTAAAACAGTGATCTCCGAAGGGCTTATGCCTTGGACTGCCATTTCCCTAAAGAGATTGACAGCTTCCTCTGGTTTCTTAGTCCGGGTATATCCATCGATCAATCCAGTCCAGGAGATCACATTACGGTTCGGCATTTGTGCAAAAACTGACATTGCCATCTCCATCTCTCCCCATTTGCTAAAACCAGTGATCATCGCATTCCAAGAAACCAAACTTCTTGCAGGCATTTCATCGAACACCTTGTGAGCATTGTCTATAGATCCATAGCAGGAGTACATGTTGAGCAAAGCAGTGTGAACATAGACATCGAATGCGAAGCCGTTTTTGAGAACAAGAGAGTGAAGTTGGACACCGGATGGAGAAACTAAGGAGGCTGCAGCACAGGCCTTGATGAGAAAGGAGAAGGTGAAGGAGTCGGTTGGTAGGTCCGCAGCGCAGAAGGCGAGCATGTGTTGGTAGATATTGAGGGCTTTAAGTGGAGAAGAGCCTAAAGAGTAGCGGTAGATGAGGGTGTTCCAGAGAAGGATGCCACTGCGGCTAATGCTATGGCGGTGAAGGCCAGAAGTGACGAGGTAAGAATGGAGTTGGAGGGAAGGGCGAAGTTGTGGATGGCGGTGAAGGAGGGAGAGGAGATGCTGCTCTTGGTTTGACGAGCAGTATTGTTGCAAGCCGCGGAAATGGAGAATCGGGAGATGATGGAGTGATAATGCTTTGATCCATGGCATTGACACCAAAATTGAGCTGAAATTAGGAAGGGAATAAAAAAACTGCTACAAATATTTATGAAATCATAACCATAGCATAGGCCAGTGGCAACATAATAATCGAATAACAGCAACGATAATCGGATTTGCTACCTACATTACTTCGATTCGAAGCAAAAAAAACATAAGAAGAACCAATTTTGCTTGGCTGGTGTTTTATATCATCTGCTAGAAGAGTTAGATCTGATATCTGATAAAAATTATATCCCAACGGATGTAACGTAAATTATTTATATGTTAAACACATTTGGAAGAAAATTTAAAATAAAATATTATAATTAATTATGATTTTTTATTATTAGAATATTATTTATATAATTTTTTTCATTGGTTGTCTCTAATGATTTCACTTGATCATCAAGCTAAAATGGAGCTTTCCCTTATTTGTTCATTTCTACAGTTTTTATTTATTTTTTCTGTGGAGTCACGTGTGGAATTATAGCATACATTGGCCGTATTGACAATGGCATAAATCGACACTATCAGCAATGATGGATAATGAAGCGGCAACATTGTTATTATTGTCAACGACATGCTTTGAAAATAAAGGTGATGACATGCTTGTATTTGTTTTATAGCCGATGACATGCGTGAACATTATTGGCAATAGTGGACGAAAGTAGTTGAGAGATTATTGACATGCTCTTGTTCATTATTCATGTGCTTGCATGCTCATGGTTGTGACTAGAATGCATGCCATGCAAGTGTCTATGCTCTTCGGCAGTAGTCAGTTGAATTTTTTTGTCGAATCCCATATATAGAGGATTATCCAGATTCTTGTGGGATCCCTATGACTTTTGATTTTTAGGTTCAATTTTGATACTTTAAGAGCCTAACAAAGCCTCTATAACCAACATCAAGTATATTTGAAAAATTATAAGCATATATTTTTAATTTTTGCTCTAGTCGATATGCCAACTTTATGAAACAATGCAATTATGAATAAAAATATTTTACTCGATTCTCGATATGAGAGAAGATCCTTTAGGGAGCATTCATCCCTCTTTATTATTATTTTTTTAAAATCAGAACATTTTGTCATGAATTCTTACAATGACTCAATATATATTTGAGCGATACAGATTTCATTGTTCAAAAATAGGAAGACAAACAATACGTCATCAAAACATTCATTGATTAAGCAATAATCTCAATGTTGAATTTGAATTGAAAACTTATATAATTAAATTTAGAAGCATTCAAATTCCAATTTTAGCAAACTTATATTTGAATTGTACATCTTGATGAGACAATTTTACTAGCCCTAAAACTTATATTTTCCTATTCCAAATTAATTAGCTTAAATTAAGAAATTCAAGCATTGTTAAAAACTTCATAATATTAGTTAAAGGGCCAAATGATCTCCAAATTTTTTGTGCTTATATTCAAATAAAGTGCCTTAATGATAGAAATCCAACGAGGCCAAGATCAATTAATTTCATAATCGTTAAGACACATAAATGGTGAAAACATTACCTATGATTAAAAGAATTTTAACCCATGCCATTGATTGAGTACTTTATATCGGTTTGACTAAATTTATCAAAATGTCTCTCTAAAAAACTATAAACCAACCCCATTTCTGACATGAAGGGCAAGGGTATTGGAATTGGAGCTAAACCAAGACTTGGAGGTAGAGAGAGATATGTTAGATGATTAATGTAATAACCCAAAAAGTTTGAAAGTTATTTTAAAATGATTTTTTTTTTTTTTTTGAATTTTCTATATGAGCTAGAGTGCTACGATGCTAAGCATGTGAACTCTACGGTGTTAAGCTTGTGAACGCAGTGTTGCAATGCTTGAGTGTGCAGTGGTACTAGACGTTGTCACCACGACATTGAAGACTCTGTTATACAATAATTACGAATTCATTATGCGGTGCTGCAACATCGGGTAAGAGCATCACGGTGCCAGGTAATATAATTGTTTTTAATATTTTTTTCTCTAGATTTCCCTCACTACCACCCATCTCCTCCCTCACTCATGTTGTGTTGCCAAGAAGAAAGAAAAAAGAGGGAGAAGAGAGGGATAACAAGAGGGGTGAGAGAGAGAACAAAGAGAAAGCTACTTTGGGACGTCGTTTTGTCAATCGTTCATGTTATGGATTTTATATAATTTAAAGTAAGTGACAAAACTATTACTCCAATTTTTTATGGTTTTTATTTCTACGGATTTTATCTCTCTTAAATCTACTAAAAATTTCATTATCTCCTAATTTTGTAAGCATTCACCATTAACTTCTAATATAATAGATTTGATCATTCTTAATAATAATTTGATATGATTTTATTTTATTTTCACTAGTTAAATATGTGTATAGGAATTTCTACGTAAAATGAATATGAAAAATATATACTGAGAGTGGGTGAAAATTGATGTGCTGTGATTTGATATGATAATAGTAAAATGTAACATTTATTGAAATGATTCATATGATTGATATGTACTTGAATGTAATACTGATACTAATATGAATTTAATAAGATAGATAGGAATATTTGATATATGTGTATATAATTAGGAAGTCAAAATGCTAATATGAAACACCATAAGGTGTAAAGAAATGATATACTGATTAATATCATATATATAATAGCCCCACGTGATACTCTCAAGATCCATGTGATTCACTAACTGGGAGTCATAAGGAGTCGAAGATTGATTGGGAGTAGTAAGGAGCAGGAGCACTTGATCCATGTGGTTCATTGATTAGGAGTCATAAGGTGCTAGAGACTAATCGAGAATCATAAGGACATGAGCAAGATCAAGATAACATCATTTAAATACTTAATAAATAATAATAGTACTTATATATAATAGATAGTACTGTACATAATAAAAATATTAATATAATTACTTTATAGATGACTTATTAATTGATGTGATTAAATGAATAATAAGAATGACTGATTGAATAAGAATAATTGAATAATAAAGATAAACTGGCTGGTTGAGTAACTATATGAGATTAACTGAGCATTAGAACTATTGATTGACAAACTGAGATGTGATAAGTAATATACTAATAAATTTATACATGTGACTAGTATAGATAATATATATTGATGCATATATTTTCTTATATGATTTACAATATATTGTCTCTCTTTTTTCTTATTTTGATTTAGTGGTGAGCTTTGGTTACTTAATGGTCTATATGCTCATTATGTGATTTTATATAATTTCAGTTAAGTGTAAGGTTCCTGCAGTGTGAGGCTATACAATGATGTTAGTTTAGCTCTATTTCAAGTTCTTGGATTTTAAATATTCTTTTATATCTGATAATGACTATTATATATATTATTTTGAACTTTGAATCTTGTAATAGAATATAAATATTGACTACTATAGTAATGAAATTTTGTGTTTCGTTGTTTATAATATTTATATTTTTCCTGAATGAGATTAGTCAACTCTAGTTATTAATTTTCTTGTTTTAAATGAATATTGGGTGTTAATTAAACATAATAAAATAAATGAAATTCTTCCACTTTAGATCCTGGGATGTGATAATTAATGCTAACCGACAAATTGCCATCACTCGACCACTAACTTCCAATCTATGGCAGCCTGGGATCTAATGTAATGATTAAATTTCTAAATAAAACTTTTTCTCAACCATAATGCAGAATAATCCAAGCCAACTAAAAAATACAAAATATTAATAATAGTCTTACATACCATTTGGATTCCACTTCTCAAATTTTATATATGATAATCCAGTTCACATAGAATCTATGTTTCAAAAGAAAGTATTGGATAAAAAAATATCTCAGGAGTCAGGGTCCTACCAATCCGCCCTTATAAACACTACCCAACGAGGCCCTCTCCTTTTCTTGAACTTTTAAATATCAATAGAATGAGCATTCCAACTCAGTAAGCAAGCTTGTACCCTCATGCATAATTTTATATCCATAACCACAATTCATAAATTAAAATTTTTATTAGGAAATTCAACAAACATAAAGAAATTATCATTTTTTTTAGAAATATACAATAACCTTTTTTTTGTAGATATACATTTTCTTATAATTTCATAGATTACTTAACTACACTGGTTTCCAAAGATAACAAAATTTATACTTTCATTTGCATTTTCATGGAGAATTTAGATTTTGCACTTATATAGGAGTACTAGAATATACCTACTTTTAGATATTCCATTTTTATAATTGGTTTTTTTTTTTCCATTTATTAGAACATTCAATTTATTAATAGAATAATATCATGTGCAGAATAATATACATGTCTTAATGCCCACTTATAGCTCCACCTCCACTTACGCCTTCCATGCTAACCTTCACTAGGTGAAGAAGACCCTCCTAAATACCCTTATAACTCCACTTCCACCTATGTTTCCCTTAAATCTCTCACCTACATAAAGTAGATGGGGTTAGAACTAGTAATAGAATTGAATAGAAAGTTAGGCCCATATAATAGAGTTTATAGTGCATTTTATTAGTCTCCCACATCATAACATTTTCCATATGTTCATAAATATACTTTATAGAGTTAACAAATGTACAAGTTGTTAAATATGATCATGAATGCATGTACACCACATACAGAGGATGATACACATGGATATTATTCATGTTTTTTTCCAACGTTCATTACATGAGGTAATATTCATAGTTAAGCTTCAAAACTTTATTTTGAGACTTTTTAAGGGATTTTAATCCAACTCAACTTTACTAGTTCTTCATAAAAAAAATATTTAAATTTAATATAGGTAAAACTAATTGATGAAAACTTTACATCATACAGCCAAATTATTCAAAATAGAATATTTTTAAGCATACTAAAAATTACATGGTGGAATTTTAGTTATAATAATTAAAATGCATTTTTAATATTTTCACTTAAATACCATAGTTGAAATTAGAAATAGGGTATTGGGGGCCTATCTCAAGAACAATGATTTTCTTAACTAGCTAGATAAATGAATCCCGAGCTACAACCTTAGAACCTCTCTCTCCTCTTTTCTTCTCTTCTGCTTTATCTCTCTCCTTCTTTTCTTCTCTTCTCTAACAATAGTTGAAGAAGGGGGGGGGGGATATTTTGGTGATTTTTATGGAAATAGATTTAGATATTATTTTTATAAAAAATATTATTTTTTATCTAGCATTGTGGCACTCACTTCCAAAGTACCTAATGCTCCACTAAATATTACAGATGCCC